CTGTTGCTGTTGCTGTTGCTCCTGGCACTTGGGATGTTGATATTGTTGCTATTTATGCAGATGTTGCTCTTGCCCCCTGTTCCTTGTATTGATTTTGTCTAACTTGAGATGCTTTTGAGGCTGCTGCTGCCATTCCGATTGGCATAGTTTCCATTTCGAATTTTACGCTTAACGTTCGTATCCTGCTGAAATGCGTTCTGATTTTGCTGTTGCACCTTCAACTGCTGCTGCTACATCCATTTTAGGTATTTGTCCAAAGCGCACTCTCATCCCATTTGCTTCTGTACATTTTTTTCTTGTTTCGTTTCCTGATTATTATTGCTCTCTACCTTTTACATCTGGTTCAATCTAAGGGGCAACTAAAAGGCATTTTGTCTAGTTCCTTATAAATAGGAAAAAATATTGTCCTACAATTTCACAACAATGAATTGTTTGCATTTAATTGAATAAAAATCATATCATGTAAACTCAGCTTTTAAACCCAGTTTTATTATATATCTTGCTAATGAAAACTTTGAACAGAAAATATTATTTGTAGCTCTTGTTTTGCCATGAAAATTTCTAGTCTCAATCAAATACCTTTGGGGCAACTTTGGTTTTTATTCCCATATCCAATAAAAAATGTTTGGGAAATTTAATTGAATTATGTGTAAAAATATCATTAGATTTGAATATTTTTAGCTGCTGGACATCGTTGTTATCGTCCTTCTTTCTATTCCCAATTTTATTTAAATTTCATTTCATTTGGCTGTCTGCCAATTGGTCGTTATCCTTTGTCCTGGCTAAATTTCAATTTGATTAAATTTGGAATATAATATAATAAAAGCAAAACCTTTTTATTCCTTCTTACTGCTATGTGGCTGTCTGTTATTCATTCTTTTTGTTGACTGGCTTTTTAGTTTTCCAAAATAGCGTTTGATATGGATGACAATCAAGGGCCACGAGTGAGTAAATATCAGCAATCCCTTCAAATAATCCAGATCAGTGAAAAAAGTCAGAATGAACAACCTCTGCAGCAGAGAGAGGGATTTATGGTGGTGCAAAAAAGAGGAGTTCACTGTGAAGGGATTGCCACTGACTGCCTGACCACAGGACACACACAATATACGTTAATTTCCAGCAGCGGACTTAATGCTCCACCATAATAGTCGTAATTTTTATAATGCCGACCACGGAAAACAGACAGAAAAGCGGCTCAAAAAGTCAGCCAGCAGAACACACAGAGGTGGTCTGGAATTGCTCATTAGGCTACGAAAAAAACAAGGATATGCATAGTAAACTCCCACATTTGTTTTAAACCAAGAATATATGTGTTTTTTATTATCAAGGAGAGAAGAAGCATAATTATTAAAAAAATAAAACTGAAATCAGATAAATTTCGTTGTACACTCTATAAGAAATACTTAAGGCAATGGAAACCAAATAGTAAAGTATTAAAAATGAGTTACAGATCTAAAGTGAAAATTGATTTATAGTATCAGAAATTAATATGGAAAGTGTAGTATTCAAATTAGTTTAAAGATAAACTTTAGTATTGAAAATCTACAAAAAAAAAACATAAACATTTTTTTTAACTTTTCTGTGTTGTGTGCTTTTTAAAATCGAATAGAACTCATATAATATTTACCATAGCCCCTGTGCCTTGTAAGTGTATCGTAGAGTTACGAATATTGCGTTGCAGTATAAATTTCATACCCACACCCACTTGAACTGTAATTGCTTTCAAGCCCCATGGGTCATCATAAAAATTTTCACCACTAATGAGGCCGACGATTAATCGAAAAATGCCAGAGTAAACAATTACCTTCCATCCCGCTGTGCTTCAGTTCGGCGACGTGTTAATGTCACCAGATATGGCAAAAAACAACAAGTACCAAAAAATGTAGAGTTGGAGAATGTAGAGGCAGTAGTTGCGTCATGGTTAAGTTTACCATTAAAGGTAATTGCCGGGCTCGAGGCCCTTTGGCAATTATGTCTGGGAATAGAAATAGCTGGGCGACTAGGGACTCCTTGTTAAATATCAATTAGACTGGCTGACAAGAAGTTAATCCTCGTGTCTAGTTCCCGCCCCCGTACTTGCAAATATGCAACAAAATATGTGCAAAATGCATTTGACATAAAAGTTGCGAGAGCGTCAAGTTGTGCAAAACTATTGTCACACATGCACACAGCCAACACAAAATTCCATTAAAGTTTTGCATTTGAAATTGCATCAACCGAAAGCTTCTGAGTGCGGGTCTTACCAGTGGGCGTGGCCGGGCATGGTGGGAGGAAGGCGTGTGCAGGGGCGGGGTTGGCCTGGTATATGATGGGGCGTGGCATTGTGGTGGCTGTTGCGTCTAGTGACTAGTTCTATGTGTGTGCGGTAGCTGATACTGATTGAGGTTAGTTTAACCCTAGACTAGCCAGATTTTGTTGTTGAAAGATGAGGTTACAAAATGCAATGAAATACTGCAATTTGACAGCTTTCAGCTAAAATGCAATTGCATTAGCTTAGCAATTTCAATGATGTGCCAAATGATTTTATCTTAACAACAGCCTGTCTTATACAGCTAACAATAAACAATCCCTTTGATATTGGCTGTTGCCTATGTTTTATAGATATAGACGATTTTAACCAATTTTAATTCCGCTCAAGCCAATATTTCAAAATTTATTCGAAAAGTTGGCTTTCAGCTCTTGGCCGGTCATTTTTAGCAAAGCGACTATGATAATCGCTTTCTTTGATCCCGATAAGCAAAATCACTTTAGCCGTCAATGCTCATTGGTCGTTATGGGGTTAATTCATGCAAAAAGGTTATGCAGCTCCAGCACTTCACTTCTCCATCTATGTTCGTTGTTATTTCATTTGGCTCTCCTTTCCATTTTTGTCAGCAGCCAAGTCAAGGCAAGCCAAAAGCAAAGGCAAACGCAAACCGAACGCCAGTCAAGCCAAAAGAGGCGGAGATGTCAGAGGGGTCGGAGGTCAGGAATGGCATCCCGAGATGGGAGATGCGAGATGCGAGAGAGCCCAAGTAAGCCAATCAAGGCATTCAAAGAGAGCATATTTAAATAGCTTTTAACATGCACGAGCTGTCGAGCTGGCTGCCGTAGTTAAGTGAAGGCCAAAACCAAAGGCGACACAAAAATGCAGCCAAAAAAGTCGAAAGCAGACAGAGCAGACAATTTTGAAAATTGCCAGGGAAGGGTTGAGCAGTTTCCAGTCGTTTAGCAATGCAGCCAACGTTATGCATTTCGCCTTGCCATTCCTTTGATGCACCACCACCTAGAAAATGCATTGGAATTTCTGGGCACACAAATGGCAAGGAGTTAAGATTGCCAGATTAATGGACGCCCCGAAAGGTGTTAAATTATATCATAAAAAGTCTTTAAAAATGTATACTTAATGTTAGAATATAATAACATAACAATTTTATTTTTGTATTAAAAAAGTCTCATATTTAAATATGCAAAACTATTTTGTAAACATCAATAATTAAACATCAATTTATATTATATCTGTGGCATTTAAAATAAGAGGAAGAAACGCAACAGTTCTTAAGGGATTCATTTGTATATGACAAATTTTCAGCCCATCTTGAAAGGCTTTTTCAGACAGAAATCGAATCAAAGGAAATTTACCAACTTGCGACAGGCGTTGGCATTCTTCAGTCTACATTTTTCGATTTTCGAGTTTTGTTTGAATCGCTGCTGGTTGTGATGCTGTGAGCCAGCCTCTGTCCACAAAGGCGGCAGTGCTAAGCAAACAGGGAAAGCATAAACCATACTCACACACTGACACCAACACCCACACTCATACCCATACATTTTGGGGGGCATTTAAGCGCATATTTATTGTACAACGTTGCGTATGCGCAATAAATTTTCACGAAATTTCGACGCATTGTGGCAATAAAATGACATTTTTTCATATTTACACATAAAGTCAACGGAAAAAGCAGCAGAAAAAAAAAACAGAAACAAGAAACGAGAAGGGATAGGCTTAGGGGGAGGCGTTGTGAAGGATGTTACAGCGATTTTTTATGGCCTCTTTTGCTTTTGATATGATGCGAAATATTTTCAGCGCAGACATTTTTATTTATGTTTATATATACTTTTATCTATACACATTTGATATGAGTTGACGCGGGACAGCAGCAGCAGCAGCAACAACATGAAAAGCAGCAGCAGCCGCAGCACATGTGACAGCTATTGTTGTTGCTTTTGTGCGGCTTGATTCAATGCCAAAATGTTGTTGCAGCTAAAACGCCGCATAGAGCCATAAAATAGGAGAATTTAAGAGAGAAACAATTAAATTTCTGCTGACTTAGCAAGATAAATAAATGCGGTGGTACGTCAACTAGTTCTTAAAACGTTATTTTTGTAAAAAAGTATGTTCAGAAATATATTTACGCTTTGGTTGCAAACTTAAAACAAATGATTCCAAATTTTAAAAAATTGAATAATACACTTATGAAAACTTATTACATATTTTGAAATAATTAATTACGTGCCTACGGTTTATAAGTAACTGCATTTGCATTAATTTTGCTGATGTTTATTTTTCCCATATACAAACTTTAACTTTACTTGTTAAGCTTAGTTTTGATCCTATAAAAGGGACTAAAAGCCTACCGAATCCAAAAAGGAAAAAAACGTTGGTGCACGCATTTGCACATGCATAATAAATAAACATGGCCGCCGGCAGGCAGTTGCTAAGCCAATGGGTGCAGAATGTTTGGGACCGTAAAGGACGGCTCAAATTTACGCATTTGTAATTACGTAGGAATTAAGCCGCCATCAACATTTAATTGCTAAAAGCTTTACTCGAAACGAGGCAGCCACGCATGCCACGGCGAGCGTGGAGTGAAACTGGAACATTTAATTAACAAATTTTACGCATTTATTTTCTATTTTCATGACGATGATGCTGACCAACCGCACACGAAAAAATAAACCGACAAAAACCGTGACAACATAATTTGCCTGGAACCGAACCAAAACGGTTTTTCCGACCACAGTGAAAACGAAGGACATTGATGCCGTCGAGGGGAAATCAGTGTCACTGCCCTGCCCCATCACGGAGCCACTGGATAATGTGTATATGGTGCTATGGTTCCGCGATAATGCCGGCATACCGCTCTATAGGTGAGTCCTGCAGGACGAGTCCGTGTCTGAGGGCTCAATTGGTCCATTGTCTCGGCTTAGGCACACATATAATTAAATGCAAACGAGAGTCTCGAGAGTTGCTACCTTTTTAAATCGTTTGGGGGGCTGCCTCACATAAGTATGCTATGATTTCGCCCTCTTTAAGTATGCTTGTGTGTGTGTTTGTGTGTGCTTGCCTGTTACTGTGTGCGTTAGGATATGTGATTTAGCTTAGCTTCCCCACCTGTATTTGTTTCATTTTTTTTTTATCTTTTTTGTTTGACTTTTGTTTTCTCTCTGTCTGCGCCTGGGTATTAGCTTAATTATGTTTACCTAATTTAGAGTGATTAACCTCGGGGCATGACAAACCACAGGAATTATGTGCTGGCGAAAATATTCAAGCCGAGAGTCGAGCGTCGACTCCAAAGATTAAATTACAGGGAAATGGCCAAGTAAACGCAGGTCAGATCACAGGTCAACCGAAGTCGCCTCCTTAATAAAGTGGCCGTAATTGAGGGCCCATGGCTGAAAACCTGCACTGTGTTAGCTTCTAATTGCATTCACGGCATTTTCACGCCACGTTGCGCCTTTTGGATGTCAACCAAAGATTTTTTCCTCTACATAATTGCTTTTGCCTTCGTCTAGGGTATCTCAGGGTGTACTGTAAAAGTTTAGCATATTCAAATTTAAAATATTTAAAATACTTTTTTTTAGTTCAGTACATTTCTTTAACTCACGAATTCAATCTATAAAATTATCAAAAGCAAATCTAAATTTGTAGGTATACATAAAAATAAAAACACTACAAAAATGTTAATGTTATTTTTGAGCCCTTTTAACCTCTTCTTATCCCATCTACTTAAAAAAATATAGTTTAGCTAATAAAATCTAGGAAACATTACGCGTGTTTAACTGCTAACCCATATAAATTTAATTTGCTAGATTCGCCGCTTTCAGGGAGGCCAACTCGATTTGGCGTCAGGGTATTTTCAAATTCAATCAGTCCGTGCACTTTATTTCCTGTCCCGTGCTCGTCGTCCTGCTTCCTTTTTAACCATGCCTCCTTGGGCCGTCGGTGCATTTTTATTAGACTCAATTTGTATGCAGTCGCGCCAGTGGCAGCCGAGTTCGTTGCGTATTATTTAGCCATAAACATTTGCTGCATAGGCTCCCGGAGAACCGTTATTAAGTTTGGCACTAGCTCTGCAATTTCGCTTTCGCACACACTCTCGCTTCTTCTGCCATTTAAGGGAAGTGCAACTGTTTTTTAGTTTTTAATTAAAACGGCGGCGCAAAAGGACGATGAAAAAAGTAAAGGGAATAAAATTTGGGTTAACGTTGGGTTGGCTTTGGCCCCCATGCTGATGGTGCTGCACTTGAGTCGGCTGCTGGTCGTGCCGCAATTAAGTTGTTGCATTTGCAACGAGCAGTGCAAGTTCGACGGCTTCCCGCATAAATTATTGTGTGTTGCATACAAAAGGGTGCTTAACGCTCAGCCCGCCACAGAAACATTCGAAAGTGGCTGCAATCGCTGCTGCAGCAGCAGCAAAAGCAACAATTTGGTAGAAAGCGAAAAGAGCCATTGAACGGGGACAGAGACAGGAGGTCAGAGTGATGGAAAAGGACCTCTTCTGATTGAGAGACCTCAGTCTGGTTTCAAACGCGAGGTACCATTTTTATTTTTTCCGCGAGATATTGTTGGAATGGAAAAAATGTTAATTGACAGAGTTCGCTTTAATTAAATTAAATTCCGCATAAACCAATGTAACGGTGGAAATATTTCACACAATTTAATTGTTCAAGTTTAATGTCAGCTGCATTAAATGGATAAAATCACACTTATTATTGCTGAAAATAAGTGTGATGTTCAGCCTTTGGGCACAGATATTTACACCTTATTATTTGTACAGCATGTTTTTTTATTTACTTTATCAAGAATAAAAGAAAAACTAAACTTTTGCTTTAATTAAGAAATTTTTTAATTTCGTTTTGTTTTTTTTTTATCTTTACTGTCGTTCATTTCAAAGTCTATTGTCTTTTAAATACCAAAGCTTTGGGAAAGTTTGAAACTCTCGGAAAGTATAAACTTAGCCCATTAAATGCAGTGCAGATTTAAATGTGCCGAGCAATTTGAGGATGCCTAAAATGCCTAAAAAGCAAAACAAAAAATAATGTTTATCTGCAGCGCATAAATTGCATTTGGCAAGGCTTCACACACAAACGCTTTTCATCCACGATTTTCCACCCCGCCTAATGAGCAAGCCAAAATAAATTACGCTAATTTTCGTGCAAAAAGTTCAGAGGTGGGCGGAAAAAGCGAGGGAACAGGGATGAGAGGAGGTTGAATTATATTGGCTATGGATTTCATTAATTTCCGTGCTGGACGAATTTTTTGGGGCTTGATTTAATTCGCGAGGCCCGCCCACATTAAATATTAATGGGGCATGGGCGGGTATTTTTCAAGGCTTCATGTTATTTAATGTTTTTGTGTGTTTCTCCCCCATCTCTTCCCTCCCAGCTTCGATGTGCGCGATAAGGAGAGCCGGAACCAGCCCCGACATTGGTCAGCCCCGGAGGTTTTTGGCTCACGTGCCAAATTCCATTTTGACTCGCAGCCAGCAACCTTGGAAATTAAGGTGAGATTTACCCGTGGGATCGCGAATCCATACCCATTAATTTGCGTGTGCCAGTGTGAATGGGGTGTGGCGTGGTGATAATGAAACGAATGCGGGGGCTTAACATTTTAAATTAACTGGAATTAAATAATGCATTCAATCGAAATGCACCTGAAAAGATGCATTATCTGCATGCACACTTTTTGTGGGCCACTGACCATGGCAATATTTCTAAATAAAAACCTTTGGCATGAATACACATTTTAAATAAATAAATGTCCAACCAGAAAATGGCAACTAAATGTAAAAAAAATGGTTAAAAAGTACTGCACAAAGTATTCCTATTTAAATAGGTTGGCTTGAAATAATACAAATATAAATAATTTGGAAGTGAGACTTTAATTTTAAATAACGTTTTTTCACCGGACAAATGCAATTTGTGATACAAATCCAATGACGCAGATAGTGTTATACATTTAATGAAAATCTGAAATGCGTACCAGCAAAACATCAAAAACGGAGAGGAAAGTAGCCAAAAACACTGAAACAACCAAAAAGCGGAAGCAGCAATGGCGAAAACATGGCTAAGAAGAGCCGAGGAAACTGAATGGAATGTGGAAAACAAATTTAGATATCAAAAGTTGTTAAATTGCCTGGCGCACGCGAAATGTTTATTAATGTCTTGCATGTTTACAGATAACTTGATTTAGCGTTTCTGTCATGCAATACATAGATACACACAAACACATCTCCGCGCTTCGTACTTATGCAATGTGTTTGCTACTTCAATTCGTCGTATCGCATCGTCTCGCCTTGGATTTCCTTGGATATCCTTTCCCAGGGCTTGTCTCTGCCACGGCATTTGACTTTTTAAAGGCCAACTTAGTTAAGGTCTTAAGTGAGTTAAGCAATAAACAGCAAGCCAGGGCGTTCGCTAGAACAGGAGGTGCAGAGGAGCTTCGTTAACGAGCTGCATTTTGAAATGAATGTGAAATGCACACGAATAGGCGGCCACCATAAGTCCGCCAGGCGAAAAGGTCCTCGTAATGTGGGCAGGTTGAGCCAAAGGGGAGGAGCCTTGCAAAAATTGTAACTTATGAATTATGTGCTAAAATTGGTCTGGGATTGCAGTGCGGGGGGACTTCGGGGTCTGAGCTTATAAATGAATTTTAATTGCGTTTCAATTGCAAGCCAATTAACTCGACGTTATTTATGAGTGGCCAACGAATGCAGGAGTCGAGGATCCACGAGTGGTTGTCATGTAAGGATGGGTGCTATCACGCCCCATATCACCAATATAACTTCAAAGAGGTACTTTTCAACTAGTCTTATTCAAATCGAAGTAAGCAGGTCAAAGAGCCTCCTCACGCTTTGAAAAGCATACTTAATGAACTCAAAAATGTTGGCGTTGGGCGACAGCCTCCTACATATTTCTTAATTAATATTTTTCACTCCACTAACTATCTGAGCTTAATTAAAAATGTTCTTATGTTATAAGCTTAAATTTTTAGAAAAAACCGAAGCAACACTATTTGCCAAATTAAAAAGAAAACAACCAAGAATCAGAAATATTACCAAACGTATTTAAAGAAATCACCACTAAATTTAATCGTTGATTAAAATGCCAACAAATAAGAAAACGATATAAACTCAGCTTACTATTAAATTTCGAAAAGCAAATTATCACTGAAAGACATATTTGATTGGAGAAGGAAAAGTTCAACCACTAAATGCCATAATAATGGTAAAAATCTTGTCTGGCTCAATTAAATTATTAAATTTGTGAATGGAGTCGAATTGAAAAATGTATGTGAGCTCCTAGGAGAATAAACCAAAAAATCGCTCTTATAGAAAACTACACAGGTATTGCACAAGTCCACAAGGACTCTTATGGAAATGTGACAAACGGCTTTTCTGTGCTAGCATTTTAAACGCATTCAAGTGAAAACCACAAAAGTTGAAGTGTCATGCAATAATTGAAAATTATATGGCTAGAAAACCATGTTGGCAGGTTGACTGTGTGCATGCTAATTCCCCGTTTTCCCGCTTGAATCAGAACACAAAAACCACAAATAATAACTTACCATTTTTGCAGGATATCAAGCGACATGATCAGGGTATTTACCGCTGCCGTGTGGATTTTCGCACCAGTCAAACGCAAAGTTTCCGTTTCAATTTGTCAGTAATAAGTGAGTGTTGCCCCAAATGAAGCATTCGAATTGTATTCATGAGTGCCATTGAAAAACGTATCCATCTGTTTGTCTTTAGTACTTCCGGAGCAGCCACTCATCCTGGACCGTTGGGGTCGTGTCCTGAATGGCTCTCAATTGGGGCCCAAGCAGGAGGGCGATGATATCGTTATCACTTGTCGTGTGGTGGGCGGTAAGTTGAGCTGACTGACTACAAAAGACGAACTTAACCCCAATACCCCGATGATATACCCACACACAAAAAAACACACAAGAGCCATATCCGTATGCTCGGCTAGACAATTTCCTGTTAATTTCCTTAAAAGCTTTGACCGGCAAAAAACAGCAAAGAAAACACATCGCAGGAGGAAGAGTGCTGCAAATGAAAATATCACAAAGTCTGCTTTGGCTTGGCTTGTGGTATTTTTTCAAGCTTGACTTTTTAATTTGCACCATTTTTCGTTTTTACTACTATTTTACTAACTTCTTGTCTCCCTTTCTAACTTTTTATTCCTGTTTTTGGTGTATTTTTTTTTTTTTGGTTACCCCAATAGGTCGGCCCCAACCGCAAGTCCGTTGGCTCGTAAATGGACTGCTTGTCGACAATCAAAACGAGCACAATTCCGGCGATGTTATCGAGAACCGTCTGTTGTGGCCATCGGTGCAGCGCAACGATTTGAATTCCGTATTCACATGTCAGGCTCTGAATACGCAATTAGATAAGCCCAAGGAGAAGAGCTTCATACTGGATATGCACTGTAAGTAGCGTTGATTGGGTGGGTGTTTCTTCGCCCTAATACATTTGTTAAAAGTCTGTGGGTTAGATTGAAAACCACTGACCTACAAGCTACTTGGTGGTCAAGAAAAAGGAGTTCACTTAAAATTATAGAAGGGAAATAAAATACATATATTAAACATATTTTAGTATGGGCAAAAACTATTATATTATTTCTTTAATTTAATTAATATATTGCAGGTATTAAATTTGAACCTAAGTTTAACCTACAATAAATATATTTTAATATAAGACCAAGACCATGACTACAATTATAGGTATAAGAACGTAGTTAAATCAGAATACTGAAAAATATCAAATTATCTAAAAGATAGTTCAGAATACTTTAAAATCTTCAATTTCAAAACGAATAAATATGTTTTGTTCAGTAGGCTTTAATGCTAAGGAAAACATATAATTTAAACAAGGCAAACCTTCAGCAAAACTTGCCGACCAACGCAAACTTGCCATAAGGTTAAATGCAGCATTATAAGGGCCATTAAATAATTATATGTTAACTGGAGGGAACAACATTGTCGATGGGGGCGTCAACTCTCGAATGTCAGGCCGTCGTGTTCCCAGAAGCCCGTAGCCTCGTTTTACTCCATCTAGATCCACGTGGAACACAATGCGCCAGGAGCGAACTCAAGAAGCCCAGTATCAACGAGCAGCAGACACGGCATCGGAAGGCCGGACAAAGTCATAATCCTGCCAGGAAGTGCAGCACTTGAGAGCTGTCGACTCGTAATAGACACAAATTGTTGTTGATACTGGCAAACACACACAAACTCAAGCATAGTAAATAGACGTGAAGCAGGGGGGGTTCGAAAATGATTGCCGTACAAAACGAACTGCAATTATCAGACCATGAAATATTATGGTAAACAGTTTTAATTACAATTGCATTGAATTGAATGTTCTTCCTGTCCAATTACAGTGAAGCCCCTGGTGGTGAAAATCCTGGAGCCGCCCAGCTCAATGATTGCCGATCGTCGCTACGAGGTGTCCTGCGAATCCTCCGGCTCACGGCCGAATGCCATCATCACCTGGTACAAGGGAAAACGGCAATTACGACGCACAAAGGTGAGTGGGCGTTGTCGGTGGTAGAAGTGGGCATGGGGACTTTGTGTGGAGTGGAGTGACCGCAATTGACGCAGGTAGTTGGCTAGCTCCATCCTGCTGTTGACTGACTCACGTTCAGCTCGATAACTTATTGTGTTTGCACAGTCATGCCAAACAAACGGAGCTCGTAACTCCTGACCCACCTACAGTCCTTCCCCACAGGATATAGTGCAGAGACAGACAGAACCAGTACCAGTACCAGTACCAGAACCAGAACCGAAACGAGAATCATAGACCGCCACCCACTTGTTGTCCCTGGGCGTGGTTCACACTCGCAGCTGGGTCCTAGACCAGTGCCCCCAGCCACCCCCACAACTTGGTTAGAATAAACACAGATAATGTGATATAAACTCCACAATACACAAACGATTCTAGTCCGCTTTGCATTTTGCTTTGGCCCTCCCATTTTTCCTATTTTTTTTTACCCTTTCAACGGCAGTTGTTCACTCTTTGAAACCTGATCGGATTTACTTATAAACCTGGTTGATAACAAAATCACAAATATTTTTTAAAATGATCTAAAATGATTGCTTTTCGACGAGATTAAATTTTGTATTACAAATAATATTAAAAAAGCTTGAAAAATAAATAAAATTAGTAATAATTTAAGGTGTTCTTTTTTATTATTTTTCATCACAAGTTCTAGTAAACATTTGTAAAGTAATTTACTCTTAAGTTTAAAGTCATGTGTAAGGGTATTTAAAACATTGTTACTATAACCTGGTTTTTCTGTTTGTTGTTTCTTTTTTTTTTGCTTTTTTTCAGTTCAACTTTGGACAAATTTATGGGAGTTTTGGCGCAATTTTGTTGCAATTCATTTTTGTGTGTCGGGACCTCGAGTCGAGTCCTGGTTAGCTATATCCTGACCCGGGCCTCTCCGGTCTGGCCCGTTGTTTATGTCCATGTCTATCCGCTTATATGCATACACGCTGATTGCTTTGCCGTTTTGGCCAGCTCCTGGGCCAATGTTTTTAAAGACCGGAAATGTTTTTCAGTAGTTTTCATGTAGCATAAAGTTGCCGTAATGCGGCATAGGTCCTTCCTCCAGCCCCCGCCCTCCGATATCCTCGCTCCTGCCATCCCACATGTTTTACATGCCTTTTCGTACCCTACTTTGGGGTTTCTAATATATGTCTGTGTCTGCCACCCAACGCTACGTTGTGGGTGGACTCAGGCGGAGTGTTTTAGCAAAAGTAGCCGGGCATTAATCAAAGTCCCGCAGACGGTCTAATTGAGAAGTTTAGACCACGAATTGAAATAGGCTATGCAAATGGAACAGCTCTCCGTTGAATAATGCAATTTTAAAATATTGCATTAATTCAGTTTAAATGGAGGTGTCATTGGCAAACAAACTCCTTTTACTGACTTATGAAAAGAAAGTTCCCTGAAAAGTTTAGCTTGCTAAAGTTTAATCAATAGCTTTTGAAACTTTAAATTTATCTGTGCAATTATCTAACTGAAGTGTGAGCAGTGGTCACGCCATAATCCTTCTTCTTATGGCTCCTAAAATGACCCAAAAATCGTTTCAAGTGAAATCCAATCGATCATATTTCGCCACCGAAGACAAGGATTTATATTCCCGCTAACTGCCAGCACTTTAACACCCTCTGCACCCAACAGCCCGTAAAGCGAATCGCATATCTGGCAAAAGCCTTGCCTTGGAGCGATTTGAGCAATGTGTGAACTGCTAACAAAGCGAGTCACTTGGTGAGGGATCGGGGGTAAACACTTTATGGCCATGCCAACTATATGGCGGCGAACGGAGCTCGACTAATTGTGTAACGCCTTTGTTGGTGTCCCTGTCTGCCATTAAATTTATAATACCCCGAAAGGACACCCACACGTGGCACATAAAACCCGAACAAACATACCAATAAATTTTAAATTGCAAACATAAAATATTTCGACAAATTTGCAAACAAAAAACACAAAGAAACCCAACGAAAAAGGGAACTTTGCCTCGAGGCAAGGTCTGAGCCACAGTCTCAGCACAAGGAAAACTTAATTAATGCAGAAACATTTTCTTATACTTTCTGTGCTCTTTTTTCTCCGATTCTTTTTTATTTTCAGGACGACATATCAAAGAACTCAACACGCTCCGAGCTGAGCTTTGTGCCGACCACAGACGACGATGGCAAATCGATAACATGCCGTGCGGAAAATCCAAATGTGAATGGCCTGTATTTGGAGACCATGTGGAAATTGAATGTCGTTTGTAAGTATTACAAATTGTGCTTAAGTCTAAAGTATGAGTGAAATGGAGGAAGGCTTCCCGAAGGAAGCGCCGGGCAAAGAAAAGCAAAAGGGAAGGCCACGGGGCATGGAAAAGGCATTGCCGACAGCTACCAAAAGGTAGACAGTCCTGGGCCCCGAACAAGACCAGGCTGAAATTTATTACGGCGGCGATGTCGCCATCGCCATCGCTGCCGTTGAAAGCCTTTAAAATGCAAATAAATCAAAGACAAATGACAAATTGTGAATAATTTGCCAAAGGGCCAAAACACTGTAGCGTTCCGGTGGGTAACGGGGATCAAAGGGGGCCGAGGCACAAATGAAATATGTGGGCTAACAAAATGTATGGCAGTCGCTTAAATTAAATGAAGGACTTTGGCTGCGGCCCCGTTTCAATAAAAATAAATAAAAAATAACTTTGCAAAGCAGCCCTTAAGTGGTAGATCCGAAACTGGGTCCGAAATTGTTTTACCGCCATCGGATTTTACCTGCAACATTAATGAAATCTCTCAATAATTGTAAGTCCCCCTTTAAGCCACTTCAATTCGTATTCCAAAACCCCGACATAACCATCAGGGAAGTACTGCGGACATCGTAAAGTGGAAAACAAAAGTGTCGGAAGGGGAGAGCGAGTCGAACTCAATTGCGTTACGTATACGCCATGTTTGGCGTGGCCAAAATGTTCGTCCCCTGCTTCTCTTTTTTTCTGTTTCCAAGGGCATCACGTAATAGCTTTTCTTTGCTTTTCATTTCTTAAAATATGAATATTTTCGTTACTTCAATCTGGATGTTGCCACGCCTCCTTCAAAAATTGTTGGTTACGCCTTACCAAATTCGTCTGTCCGTAGATGCCTATAGATGTGTATATAGCGTAATATGATTATATTTTTTATGCGCCACACATACTTTTCAGGCTCATATTTTATGTTTTAGAATATTATTTTTTATTTGTTTGTTTTTGCTCACGTTAACGCAATTGCCGCTGCTTCGCACCGTCCTCACGGTGTTGTTTTTTTGTTGCTACGTTGGCGCAAATAAACTTTATGATCGGCACGTAGTCATACACACATAAGTGTGCGCGCCAATGTTTGTGTTTCGGGGAAAAGTCTTCTCTTGGGGCAGGCACTGTGTGTTTTTACAAATTTCAAAAAAACAAAGAGTCTTTTTAATATTCTCACAACTTCTTCGGTTTCAAAATATCAGGGAGCGAACGTCTATAAACTTAAACTTTAAATTGCAAAGATAATTTAAATAACGTAACAAAATGCCTTCTGCAAATATTTATAGAAAAAAGCTTAGAGCAATATTAACGTTTTGTTTACTTTGCTCAAATGTTGACCCCAAATAAAACTTCCAGAGTGACTACCAAAACATGTTTTAAGTTATCGGTCCCCTTCTTCATATAGACAGATAAATTCCAGTTTAGTTTTAATTTAGGTACACAGTGAATTTATATGCCTTGGCTTCTTTATGTCTTTGTTTTTGTTGGCATTGCTCTTGGAATACCATATCTGCATCACGCGTGAGTTATTATGCCAACTGCGTTTTGGCTCCTTAGGCACGACATTTGCCAAGGCCATTTGGTCATGGTTTATGCCACGCGTTTCCCCTTCCCCTTCCCATACTCCAATTCCAATCCTCCATCCCAACTGGCATTGTATAATTTTGTTTATATCTCGCATGTGCGACTGGCTCGTTTTAAAATTTATAATGTAACCGAGAGGGGCATCCTTAGTTGGTCTCCTAGCAATAGAAACAAGACAAAACATGCAATGCAATCACAGACGCTGTACAGATTCCCCCAAGAGTGCAGGACTGGAAAAGAAATAGCACTGCGGAAAAATGACTTTTCAAAATTCTATGTATTACAATATATTACAAAGATAGTTTGTTGAAGTTAAACAAGAGAATTAAAAAGTCCTGTGACTAATATTGGAAAGTTGCGATTCCCTATTTAAAAGAATAAATATTTATTAACCTTTTGAATAGGTCAAAAATTTCTGTGACACCCCTGAATATAAAGACATTAAATGAGTTTTGAAATATTAGTTAATATTAGATATCGCAAATCAAGTGTAGGGAAGTGCTCCTTGTTTTTTTGTGTGTACTTGTAGCATACCCCGCAGCACTGGCACTGCAGACAATACATATGAATCACATACGCACGCAGACGAGCTGTAAGTGTCTTCCCGTATGTGCTTTTGTGGCCATTGTTTATGACCGGGAACGAGAATGGGAACAGGAACGGGAACATCGGCGGGCTGCTCCTCGGTGGCTGGTGGAGCGTGCCTGGCATTTTGAAAAAGCGAAAGCTTACGCCACATATATTGCTGCCCTGAATGCCACAATTTGAGTTGATATTTTTAAAGTGGCAATAGAAGCCGGCTGACGGTGGCGGTGGTATTACCCTCGAAGGGCTGCGGCGATTGTGTGTCATATCTTGTGCGGGTCGGTGTCTTTTTAATGGCTCTCCACGATGGAGTCCGAGGACAAATCGGCCACCAGGGCATCGTATACGGTATGTGGCACCACCGTGCCCACAATCTTCTTGTTCACATCGGTCTTCACGCGTATGATCTGGATCTTATGGTTGTTCTTCTCGATGATATGCTCGATCCGGTCCCAAATGGGCAGCATTAAGCCGGACAGCACATGGTAGGTGCGCATCCGAAGACCCATTTCGCATCCCGTCGGAAATGGACAGGCCCGTTTCCAATAGGCGTGCGAACACATATTCAAGCACAAATCATACTGCTGCTGCCAGAAATCGTGGGCCTCTTCGGGAACCACCTTCACATATCGCGATGTAATGGAGCCCAGTAACTCCAATCGTACTTGGGGACCCGTATTGGGTCGGTAGATTTGCATGCTGACCTTGCCCGGTGCTCCGCCATCTGCTGAAGTGGTCTGAGCCTGGAGACACAAAATGGAGGAGTTCTTGTTGTGGCGCAGCTGCTGCAGGACATAGAAGCCGTCATGTTCCTGGGAGGCCTCCTTTCGGTATCTAAAGGGAGTTTTAAAATTAGTCAAAAAAAAATACAAAAACACAAAACTAAAACCCACTTGGCCAGGGCTGTCTCGAAGGACATGCCGCGTTCCACTGTCACCGTGTGAAGTTCTGTGGCCGCCGTTCCAGTGGCATGCTTCCTGGTGAACCTCATCAGCTTAATGGACTTCACACTGGCCCCGTGGGCATCCAGATCTAATATGCCCAGATCGAAGCGTCCCGTTCGCTTCATTTGCATGATGAGCGAATACATCTTGTCCAGAAAGAATTTGAACAGGGCATTCTGGATCTCCACGCGACAACCCAAGATGCGGTTGAGGAACTTGGAGATGTTATTACTATCCTTCTCCACGCTAAAGAACTTGATCTTGTTCTCCTCGCGCACATTGAGCATTCCCACGCCGGCCATGGCCACGCAGCAATCGTAGGGGAACTCGCCCTTGTAGGATTGTGGAATGTACTCTTGTTCCAGTGGCTTCTCGCCGGTCAGCTGCTGCATCACATTCTCCAGAGCACTGCGACCGATGCTGTTGTCGATGTTGAACTGGGACAGATCACGGGCATCGGTGGCCCGCCGATCGCCTTGGGTGAGGGCTCCCAAACTCTCCAGCCGTTTGGCCACCGTGGAGGCAAATCGCCGTTCGCCGGCCAGATCCGTGATCACGAACACATATTCCGGTGAGTTGACCTGATTGGAGCGATGTGTGCGTCCAAATTGCTGAATCGCCCTGTCCGCACTCCACGGCAGTTCCAGGGTGATGTGCAGACGGCGCCTCTGGTTAGACACCCGCTTGTCGCTCTGCAGAGAAATTCCACTGGATGCCGCCTCCGAGATGATGGCCACATGCTTGCTGCCGTCCATGAAACGCTGCTTCTCCCGGTAGTTGACCAGGTCCATCGAGGAGTCGCTATCGCAGCGTGGCTCGTACTTGTAGCCATCGCACTCGGTGCGCACCACTCTTCCACGACGGCCTGTCATCTCGGCCACCAGATTGGTGCCGCCCAGCTCCGAGATCAATTTGTCCAGTGTGTTGGCCGGCATCCGCTTGCCCAGGATCTCGATCTTCTCCAGCAGCAGCTCACGCGAGTTGATGCAACGCTCCACGTCCCGCTCTGTGATGTTCGCCTTTTGTGGCTTAGTGTTGTCGAAAGTGTAGGTAGGTTCGCCGTCGTTATCCTGAGCCCTCATATTATTGCACAGGTGCTGCAGAATGCGCTCCTGCATGGTGATCTTCTCCACTGTTTGCGGGGTAAAGCAAATTAGGAACTAAAATATGTAATAGGGTATAGTTACTTACCCTTATCCACCTTGGGCGGTCGTCCTCGCCGCTTCCGTCCTGACTTGACGCGCTCATCGTCGGCGGACCATGTGCTCTCATACATCTCGATGTCGCTCTCCCCCGCCTCGGCGTCCATGTCGTCGTCGAACCAGTCGGGATTCATCTTGGTCTTCTTGGGCCTGGGCGGTCGGGAACGGGCCTCGGGTTCAAACTCACCGGTATTCAGAAGATGGTGAAAGGAGTCGCGCTTGGGCGCTGGGAAGTGCTTCTCCACAAACGATTGGATTATCATCTTGGAAGTGGACACGAAGGTGTTCAGCTTTCCATGGTGACGCTCCAGATGCTCCAGGGTGCGCGATTCGCCCGTCGACTGGAGGCCAATAACCACCGCCTTGCCCATTCGCGTGGCATGTCGCGTCATCTTGACCACATGATTCACCTTGGAGGCGATGCACAGGTTCTTGAAGAAACGCTGATGGGCACACCAGAACTGGCAGGTGATTATCTTCTGCACCCGGTTCTCGATGCACATCAGACGGCAGGCCTTCTGAAACTTCTTGTTTATCTCGGCCCAGAGTTCGGCAGCCAGGTTGTAGCTCTTGCGGAACTCCTTCGGCATGGCCACCTCCTCGATGCGGAAGCTGACGTCCTTGAAGCTGAGCTGGCGAGCTATGTAGGTGCCCCTCAGTTTCATATCCATGGCCACTATTTCCATGGCCCCAATGCCCCGTTTCTCCACCGCATTTACAAACTCGTAGAACTCCGGATAGGCGGTGCCGGGTCCCCAGAGACCCAATCTCACCATGTAGGCCATATTCCGGGGCTCACTGGCTCCCGTGGCCGAGGCATAAACCACTCTGGCATTTGGGAGCAGCTTCTGCAGCTCCAGAACAGTCGTTCCCGTCTTGGTGGACTTGCCCACATTCATCAGACTCAGGTTCTTGGCCTTGTGGCACTCGTCGAACACAATCACCCCGTCGAACTTCTTGCCCAGCCAATTGACCAACTGGCGCAGACGCGTCTTGTACTTCGAGTTGGCCGTCAGGGATTCTCCGATGAGGGCCGTGTATGTGCAGAATATCACTCCTCTGCGAAAGTTCTCGTTTTCCTCGGAGTCGATGCGACTGTACTTGAACTTGCTAATGGCCACCACTCGAACCTTTTCGTGGGCTCCTATGTCTGCGAGATCCCTTTCGGCATCGAATTTCAGATCGTTGGATACGGAGACCCAAAGGGCACGACGTCGGCCCTTTACGTAGTTGTCGAAGATGATGCCCGCAATGGTACGACCCTTTCCCACACCGGCTCCATCGCCCAGTAGGAAGCCAGCTCGTTCGCCGCTGGGCAGGATCTGCTCGTGGGCCTGACAGGCATAGACCACTGCCTCCAATTGCAGGGCACTCAGGTAATCGGTGGTTTTAACGGGCAGTGCCAATGTGTAGCTAATATCGGGCAGTTCCACGGAAGACAACGTGGCCGTTTCCACCACAGAGTCCGGATGGGCCATTCCGAACTTTAGCTTGCTGGGCCAGTAGGCCGCAAAGGTGTCGGCCACGCCGATTTCCTCATAGTCCACCTCCTCATCTTCGACAGATTCCTCGGGTGGAAATGCAGCATCCCGCGGTTTTAATGGCTCCTTGAGGATGGCAGCCGGACTTCCAGAATTGGTCATCGGAAGGGGCAAATAGGGTTGCCCACTCTGCATTATCTGGTGCAACTGGCTGGCCGTAAAACTCTCCAGCTCCTTGCCTTTCGTATTTTTCTGAGCCAGCGGCATCGATGGCGGCACCATCTGTACATTCGTGATCAAACCATCCGGTCCTGTTGTATACTTCACGGATATATCCTCACCTTGGACTCCCTTCACTCGCGTGACCATCGGCACTTTTGCCAAGGTGCGATGCTGATTGGCAGCCACTGGGTTGGGCATCTGATAAACACCTGGATTTACCACTTCCACTGTTTTGTATCCCATGGGGTTAGGGATTGCTGCTGGGAGTGGATTCAGTACCTGAGTCTGTTTCGGAAAAGCTATATTTTCTGTAAAGTCCTTGCCTGAAGCATCCGTCGTCTGTGGGTCAGGATTAAACATCGAGTCCAATAGTGTTTCCACAGAATCGTTGGAGGTGTCCGCCTCCACCATGGGTAAGGAATCCAGTTCCGCCTGAAGACGTGCATCGATTTCAGCTTCGGTTTCCTTGCGATTCACTGGTGGAAGCGGTTTTTTAAAGAGCTCATCTACTATTGGGATCTTTTCGCAAATAGATTGGGGTTCGTCACATGAGAACAGGGATCTGAGTTCAGCATTCAGGCGGCTATCAATGTCATCCTCATCGTTTTGAATCTCGACACTGGCGCCGTTCTTAGATCCAATTTGAGAAAGCACATTTATGAGCTGGTCATCACTGGAATTTGTTTTTACTTGTTCGTTGAAGTTAAAGAAATCGGGAGAAGAAAAAGGATCATTTTGTGGGGTTTTTTCCTTCCTAGATGGACTTTGCGTTTTAGCTTGTAAGTATTTCAAGTCATATTTAGTGGCAGGTTCATTTAACTTTTTATACATAGAACTGGAATCAGCTTCAGCCAATCTTAGTAGATCCCTATTATTATGGGTTTTTTTCAAATCATTCTCCACTTCCTCTAAAAGTTCCTCAATATCGCTATCCAGATCGGTGTCAGCGTCCGGAAAATGAGGTTTCGACTCGATAATGTCCTTCTCTAATTGTAAGAAGCTCAAGTCATTTTTCTCCTTTTTGTTGTACTGCTGGGTTCGGTCGCTCGTACTTGATATCTGATTTTTCTTAGACGGATCGACTAACTTTCTAAAAATGGAACTCTCATCTTCTTCAGCCAGACGTAAAGCTGTTCTTTCATTGGGCGAAGTCCGCTTTTGTTCTTGGACTTCCTTTGGGATGTTAGCCCGTGAACGTGATCTAGCAGGTGTGATGTCCCTGCGACCGCGCACCTGCTTGCCCTTATTTTCCACTGATTCTGAAAGGTAAGAAGTAGGAGCAGGACTCACCTTGCTCTTCGACCTACGGCTAGGGATGCTTTTCGCCTCAGGCTGTTGTTCCCAGATTTCAGTTGCCAAAACCGAAGTTTTATTCACCGTTTTAGTTTTTAAGTCCTGTTTTTCTTTAATAGCTAAAATCTGCGAACATTTTTCAGGGAAATTTAGCTCGTTGTTAACTTTCTCTCTTGACGTTCCCTTGCTTTTTGATAGCTGCTCAACTGCATCAAACTCGTTTTTCCAGAGGGCATTGTTTAAGGACTTTAGGCTTTGATCATCATTTTTTAATTGCGGAGTTTCTGGAGCCCAATCGTCCACCTCTTTCAAAACTAATTTCGGATCGAAATCGGTCCAATGCTTTCCGGAGCTTGGCCGCTCTTCTACATTATTTATCTGCATATCAGATTCATAGTTAGTCCAGCCAGAAAAATCGGGAGTCTTAGGTGGCCCAATCTTATAATCTTGAAATTGTTTTTTAAATTCATTAGTCGAGTTTTCTTTATTTTTGCTAAGGTTTCTACAACTTCTCTGTGGGGCCCTGGTCCTCGAATGCGAACTTCTGGTTGAGTTAGACTTTGGCGGTGAAGCAGGCGCGTTTTTAGTGCGAAGATTATTTGTGGTATTGCGCAAAACATTTGTAACTGTGTTCGCATAATTTTCAGAATGTTTGGGGGTATCCTTGGTCTTTCCCCAACATGACATATCCTTCACAAGCAAAGCATCGCAAATGCTGGCTGCCGAGTTTGCTTTTGCCTTAGAATCCGTATCAGATTTCCGTGCATTTCCTGTCATTAGCTGCGAAATTTCCTTTTTCTGTGAATTCTGTCTGGAACCCGGATTGGTTTCATATTTCGTGCTGCCAGTTGGATCCAAATCAGAGCGTTTGACTGACTTGCTTCGGGTCTGTGATTTTGCCACTCTGGGTTTTTGTCTGCCTAGTGTTGACACTGGCACATCATGGTCTTCACATTCATCAGCTGTCTTCTTGGCATTACCAACTCTTCTTCTACTTGACATCTTTGTCTTTATGGTCTATATTTATTCACCTTTTTTTCACAGTTCCTAACTATTTTCGCGTATTTATTATTAGTTTTTAGTCGTATTTCCGATTCGTATTGTGAGAAGTAATCTCATTGAATGATGAATATTTGGTTATTTTCGTTCGACTATAGATTATGCCGTGCAATTTCTCAAAGTCTATTTAACTAATTTCTCATAGCCTATTAAGCCAATCAGTCAACAAGGTACTAAATAAGACCACATTAGTGTTGGAAGTTCAAACCTCATGTCTAACATTTTGGAGCACTAAAAAGAAGTTTAGGGTTGAAGGAGCAGTTTTTCGTTATCTTTAATATAAATTAATTATTTTTGGTCTAAACAGCTTATCAATCCTCGTTATTTGGTTTTTAATAATAAATGTAAAAAAATAAATACATAAAAAAGTATATACAAAGTGGATAAAAGCCTTTAATTGAACTTAAATTTTGTTCAATGCATATTTTCTTTAGTCTTAAGTCACTTGGTAGAATTTATTGAAATAGCACTGAAAAAGTTGCCGGCATTTTTGAGCCAAAACATCTTTAATATTTGTAGACTTGGCAAAATCGCGCGAGGCTGTTGCCATAATACAACAGCCCCCACTTGCACATAAATTCTGAGCAACCGTTGACTTCCGCTCCGCCATCGATCGATGGTCGTTTTGGGCCAAAGAAACGGGTGGCACGGGGTCAAGCGGCAGGGGGAGGCGAACGGTATCCGTGGTGGAACGTTGGAACGGTAAATGATAATCACAAAAATGGCCTGCAACATGTGTGCGGAAATGCGCGACGCGACTTTTCCACCGAAAGAGTTTTCACAGCCCTTTGGGCACTTTGCCTGATTGGCAGACGACTGGGCTGAGAAACGGGTATTGAGTGGGCGGCGAGGAAAGTGCCAGTGCCACCCAAGCTGGGCAAAAGTTTTCCAGGCCATTCTAAAGTTTCCAGCAGGCGGAAGGGAACTTTTTGGCTTTGGCTTGGGGTTTGGTTTCGGGTTTGGTCTTAGGGTTCCGTTCCGCCCAACTCTTGACTGTCGGCGTTTGGTTTTGGCCGCCAATAACTCAACAATATTAAGGTTGGCACGTGCGCCCCCTCTGTTCTTGTCCTTGTCCCGATCTTGCTCCTGTTCCTGGTCCTTTTCCTGGTCCTGGCCGGGGCTCCTTGTCTGGATCTGGGTCCGGGTCCTTGCCGCCGTTGGTCTCCGTTTGTCGCAAAGTTTGTGGCTCGTTAAGCAAATTCAAACGACTTAAGCGGCAACACATGTTGGCAAACAGCGGTCGATGGGCGGGATGTCGTTGCTGTGTCCTCATAACTCTTGGCTGATGCTTCACTTTGTTCCAGTTATTGCTCTAAATCGCTCATAGTTGCAAAAACTATTAAATAAGCTTGATCATGACAGTGTGCGGGATTTTGGGGCGATGACAAGCCAGTTGTAAAACCGGAAGATGTATTGCACAACAAGTTCAGGGGATGGATAACCCAAAAAGATTTTGAATTTATTTACCACACACTGAGATTTTGTAGAGGAATTCATTTCTTCTGAATTAATTACAATGCTTTCATAATATTTGTGACGACAAATGATATTTGTCTTAAATAGTTTTCCTACTTCCAGAGTGAACTTATACTTATTAACTCTGAATGTATCTGAAAGTAAAAAACCATTTAACTAAGTTTTCCAAAGTTAGATTAAGTTGATAAAAAAGTTGCTACCTACATCTACATATATTCGATTATGGTTTCCTTCTTTTTAATTAACTTAATGACTACCTAATTTTCCCACTTATTTCTTTTTATATGATTTTTCTAAAAATACAAATTAAAAGCAAAATATTTATTTAAGTAGTCTAAAAGAAATAAAAAGAAATCGAAAGTGTATTTCTAAGGTTAAGTTCTGGTTTTCCGTTTATAATTACCTTTGATTTCCCCACCACCAAATGAATAGCTAATTGACTTGCTCCTTTGCTCCTTTTTGCAGATCCACCTCTGGTGACGTTACGCTTGGGCTCAACTTTGACACCGGATGATATCAAGGAAGGCGACGATGTTTACTTCGAGTGTCACGTACAATCGAATCCCCAATGGCGGAAACTGTTGTGGTTGCATAATGTAGGTCGCATTTCGAGTTGGCCAGGAGTGAGCCAGGCGGACTCGCAGACCCGTAGACCCAGGGACTATTACCAATCCATTCGGATCCGGCCCAAACCACTGAAAAGGCATCCCGGGCTGTCTGCTTGGCTGACTCCTTGCATTCGGTTCTGGTTAAGTGTCAATAACATGGCAGGTTGCGTATGCGTTGAGGTGGCTGCTCCGTTAGTCGCCGCCAACGATGTCCTGATGCATGGATCTGCATTTGCTCATTTCAATTCTCGTGGTCTGTCTGCCAGCGGGTTGGGTTGGGATGGTTGGTTTGCCTGTTTTGGGTGGTGCCATTTTAGGGTAAAATAGTTTTGGGATTTGCGGCATTGATTTTGCCGTCGCTCAACTGCAATCCGCAGTCGCTGGGCAATCACTCAGGCCAACTTGCCATCCCACAACCCACATCCTCCCCGCTGGGAGACCCTGTTTGCACACGAGTGTGTTGGCGAGTTTTTGCCTTTCGGATGCGCTTAGCGGATTTTGGCAAATTGAAATTCGAACCCGAGTGGTTTTGAAACAGATTATAGTTGGGCAGCAGTGTAGCTGAATGATCCATTACTGCATTAGTTTTCACTAACGTATAGATTAACAGATTTGAAAATTTAAGACAATAGACTCTAAATAAATTTAACTAGCGGAGCGGCAGCAATTTGATTTGGCTTTAATTTCAGTTACTATAAATACTAAATATTGAACCGTAAATGAAAAAAGATATAAAACAGGTACTTCTAAATCATCTCAGAACACCTTGGCATATCTATTTTTGTTGGAAAATATACATAAATCCATAGGATCAAAACCTCTTCGTTGGTTTTTGGTTTGGAATTTGACTTTTTGTGCAGTGTTGTCACTTGAGCCAGTAATAAAAAATACCCCATGCAACATAATTGTTTACACTGGCACTTGCTTAATTTCAGGGCATTCATCTGGAGCACAATACGTCAGCGAGGGTCATCCGTTCCAACCAGAGCCTGGTACTGCAGAAGATTACGAAACACTACGCCGGGAATTATGCGTGCAGTGCCATCAACGACGAGGGCGAGACGGTCAGCAATCAGCTGCCACTGCGGGTGAAATGTGAGTAGTCCTTCATGTCCTGCATACCCTTTAAACAGAGACTGTGATGCATCAGCGATTTAAAGCATAAATTTGCCAGGCGGCACTTTGTTTGAATGCATCATCTATCCGGGAATGCTGGATGCCCATGCCCCCTGTTCGTGCCCCCTGTTCGTGCCACTCGGAGCGGAGCTCGTCTGTTTTCAGCTTTCTTATCATAAAGTCAGGGCTGCAGCCGTCGCAGTTGTCATACCCCCATACTAAGCCCCCCTTCCCCCTGGCCCACAGCCACGACTCATTTGATGTATTGCAATTTGCCTTTTTCTTCTCCGGGGCTGCTCTTATTTATTTTTTTTTCCTGTTTTTCTGCTGTGCTCCGTCCGTTTTCATTTTACAACTCAGCCCGGGAGTCTTGGCGCAGTTGCACGTCAAGGCTGCGAACAAAAAATATATATTTTTCATTCCGCTCTTTGCATAAATACAACATTTTCCTTGGCTTCGTTTGTCTGGCGCTGTTGCGAATTTCATATGCTTGCCACATGCGTTGGCTTTGGCCATATTTCATAGCAGCTGCAACTGCAGGCGGAATTATGCTTCAATTTAACAGCCCGCGAAAAGTTGCCACCGCTCAACTTATGGAGCCAAAAATTTCCTGCTGCCCTTCTACCCATCCCCGAATTTAAGCAATTTGACAGACGCCTGCTCTGATGAGGATCGTAATGAGCAGGGGGAAAAAGGGGGGGTCCTGGCACTAGCTTAGTCTAGCTGGGTTGTGCTGCTGAGCGATACACATGTAGCTACCACTGCTTTTTCCCGCCTTTCTGAGCCATACAAATTGCTGCTCCAGCTCAAGTACTGCGCACACAGACACTCATATTTTGACAGGCGCATTGCTGCGAGCCATAAATTAAATGGAGTGCGCCTCCATCGCAGTGGTTGGATTTTGCCACTGCCACTGTCTCCGTCAAGGCTTCTACACTTCCTGCACTGAAAAATTCCATTGAATGTCTTTGAAGTTCGGAAGATAAAATTCTCAAAGAAAATATGATGTGCCCTTGCAATAATTTCAACAATATTTTAACAACACCAAGTCCAAATGAGCCCAAATTTGCAAAAAGCATTTAAATTTGTATTATATTTATTATAAAAATATCTTAAGATCTAAATTTTTTGAATGTTGTCGGATAGATAACAGCATTCTGTTTTAGGTAAAATTTTCCACAGTGTGCCATAAATTTGAGATTAAATTCCGTGCTGATTGAGCCACATGAGCACAGTTCCATGTCAGTTGAATGCATAACTTGGATGATGAGCTTAAACCGAGACATTACAGACATATGGTTATAATTAAGCATTACATGAGCCACACAATAATTGATTCAAATAATTGAAAGAGATATCTGGGCAGAGGCCTGAAATGGAAATGCGGCTTAATTCGTGTTAAATTACCTTTTTGGCTTTGTGTCGGAATCCACATTCGTGGCAAACCATACTTGTTGCATTAGCCAAAGGAATTTCCCACAAAGGATCCCATTGAATTCGCCTCATAATTTTGGTCAGTTTTCTACACCCACCTTGCCCGCTGTCACTCAAGTACAGCTTAATTAGCAAAGCGACTAAGTAATCACTCCACATACTTCTCACCCTCGTAATGGTATATATATAATACCACAGTCGGCAACAACAACAACAAAAGCAGGATCCCCGAATCGAGCGTAATTTTCCGGCTAATTAATTACGCCCCTTGGTTTTGTGTACATTTTTGAAGATAAACAATTCATCAGAAATTCAAGTTGCCTTCAAAAATGTGCGAGTGGATGTGCTAGAAAGTAGAGAGAGAAAGAGAAGGGGAGAAAGTCAGCTTACCGACGACAGCAAATTACGCATACGCCACGTGTGCCGTCAGCTAATAATCCTTTAACATTTATGGAACGCCTATTTACCTGGGAAGTACTAAATCATGTTGCCACATTAATTAATTTCCCGTAAAAGAGAAAGGAGGCTTCCCACTGGCAGGCTTTTCCATTGGCATTTCCCTAACCTTGCGACCCTTTTTCACCGACTGACTGACTGACAGCCTGATGCGGAGGCGTCGCGCCTTCGGTCGGTCCCCGCTGTCTAAATCACTTTTGTGCGTTTTTCACCTGCCACGCCCACACACAAAGCCAAATACTTCGGCTCATTTGCCAACGATTTTCGGGACATTATAATGTCCTACAGCTGATAATGTATCTGACTTGTCATTCAACAGGTGCTAGAAAGTGGAAATGCCCGACATAAAGTAAAAGAGTGTGTTTCGGCAAAGTCAGGATATCAGGGGATAAAATGGATTTATATAAAATTTATAGGGCAAGAATATTTTACGAGCTGATTTGAATGGCTTTAATATGATTTTGGTTATGGTTTTACCGAGCTTGTAAGTGTTTGTCTATAATATATATCTATATAGTTCATTGTTTTTGAATACACATGCTGTGTATGAAGACATAAAATAATTAATTGAAAATTGATTTATAGCCCAAGTTGTTTATTAATTTAAAATAAATTTGATCTAAAAAGTTATTGTTTAAGCCCTGAGTTAAAAAAAATACAAAACTTACTCTTTTAGACTAAATAAGACGATGTTAACTTATTGAAAGGAACTCAATGACTACTTAGTCGTTGGAAACTTTTTACGGCATTTCTTTTCAACAAAGCCTCTCAGATGATAAAGCCGTCTGGCATTTTTATTTCTCCCTCTGACTTATCCTAATCTTCTCATTACAGACACACCCGTGTGCAAGCACTCCGACCGCGTGATATTAATTGGCGCCTCCAAGGACGAAACTGTTGAGGTTGTTTGCGAGATTCAAGCCGATCCGCCGCCACGGTGAGTTCAAACAAAAAAAAATTGGAAAAGCTTCCTGCTTATCCTCTCCGCCTAACAACCACCCACCCCCTCCCCTTTGGCCCTCATAATGGTTTTTGCAGTGTTGTAGGCGATTGCTTCCGGTTTCCTGTTGAAAGGAAGTTTGTAAAATTGACAAATGATTGTGATTGTGTGTGCGGGCGCGTGTGTGCGTAGCGGAAAATACAGTTTATTTTGTAGGAAATGTGAGAAAATTTAACAATATTTTTGTTTTCGTTTTGTTTTTTTTTTTTTCATTTTTATAATTTTGTGTTCATTTCTTGGGACTTTTTCTTTTATCCGGTTTTTTGTTTGTCGTTCCTTTTTGTAATTCGTGGCCCCGGACTTTAAATTGTTGATTTTAATTCATTTTAAATGTGCAACTGGCTTTGCCGTTTCCATCTCAGCCAGCTGAAGCTGGGATTTAGTCGGACAGCGGGAATGTGGCCCACTTTAATGTTTTTTTAATGAGGCCACACCACTGCGGCCCGGCCAGCTGCCACTCTTCCTCAGTCCGAGACGTCTGAGGGCTGTCCCTGTCTTGTCTTGTATTTAATTTCAATTTTTTTCCGCCGCTGTTGTGCTGCGTCTTGTGCTGACGCTTTATGCTAAAATAATTAATCATTAGCCGGCGGAAAATATGCGAAGCCTTGGCCAAGGCAGCTGCGGCGCCGTGTAATTGTTGTGGCTGCTGGTGGCTGGAAAATATCGAACGAAAACTCGCTGTGGAGCATGGCGTGAACATTAAAAAGCTGCTGCAAGCTTTTAGGCTGGCCCCTAAGGGAAAGGACTCGGCGGCGATGTGGGGGCGACAAGTTAATTTATCAGCATTTAAACGCCTGACAAGCGGCGGGGTAAAAAATGTATTACCACAGCATGTTAATGTATTAAAATTTAATCAAAACTGTTGCAGAATTTACCTAAGGAATTGAAGTTGTCTATCTAAGAACTATAAAACAAGTACAGCAAAACCATGATCTATTGTTATTTACTTGAAATATTTTTAATAAATAAGCACAGTTTATTTTTATGAATTATTTATAGCATTTAGAAGGCTAATAATTCAAAATAATTAAAATCTATTGGGAAAAAAAAGAAAAAAAAAGTTATACGAGTATAACAAATATTAAAGTTACCTAACGAAAGGCCGAGTATAAAAATTCCGAAGATGAATTACCAGAAATAAATCAAAGATACTGGCATTGTTGTTGACATCGAGTATTTCTGTTCAAAGTTGCATTCATCGGCCCGTATATTTTCTGTATCTTATTGATTTCATTTACCTTTCACCCATGTCGATTTTTAAATGGATTTCTGTTTTTATTGATTTACGTTTATTTTTGCACTGCCAAGATGGGAAAGCGTCCGACCGAATATGTCAGAGATAATTAACCTTTTAAAAGGCTTTCAAATGTGTGAGTTTCTGTCCGAGGACTGGATTCTTTATCCTTCAATGTGCCTGGGTGTGTTGTGCGCGCTTAACCTTTAATATTTTAACAAGCTATTTTAAAAATGGAAAACTTCGCAAACATGTTTCACTCGCCGACCCCTTTTCCGTTCCCCATTTTACCTGTCCTTTTTTGTCGCTGTCGCTCGGCCTGCCTTCTGCACACACACACTTCTGTCAAAATGTCAACGCAACTTACTCACACATGTGCACAAACATTTTGCAGGACTTTTCGCTGGAAATTCAACAACTCGGGCGAAACTCTGGACGTGGGCAGCGAACGATTCAGCGTGAACGGCAGCCGCAGCATTTTAAAGTACACACCGGTCACAGATCAGGTAAACACGCCGATTCGTCCCCTCTCTCACTATATATATATATATATATGTTTGTATGTATATGTGTGGAGTGTCCACAGCGGAGACCGAAGTCAGCTCCGGGCAATTAAGCAAGAGCCGCATTTTAAATAATAAATAAATATGTATTTGCAGGATTATGGCACACTGTCGTGCTGGGCCTCCAACGAGGTGGGCACCCAGCAGCATCCCTGCCTCTTCCAAGTGGTCCTCGCAGGTGAGTTTTCACGGGCAGAGGGGAATAAAGTCACAATGCCAATGGTCTACAATCAGTGGTTGCGATAAAGAACTCTGAGACTTAAGCCCATGAGACTTAAGCCCATGTTTTAACATTAATTGGACTCCTATTTGAGAAAAACACTTTACAAATATATCTTTATGTTTAACATGAACATCTATTACAGTCTATGGACATTCCAATTATCTTGAATATTTTTACGAATTTTCTTGCTTAAAAACGAAATCTCTTCGTTTTAAACATTGAATTTTCACCATTACTGATATAATCATTAATAATAGAAATTATTAAAATCAAAATATATATTAAAGTAATTCAATATAGCGTTGCTTTAGTTTCAAGATAAATCAATTTATCAATTCCTGGAAAAGCTGTAGGACTTTGAAGACTTAATCATATACCTCTAAATAATTTTTAACAACATTAATTATCCATGATGGGCAAAGAAGCGAAAACCGAAAAATGCTCCGCTCTTGCAAAACCTTTTTATGGTAGTAAAAATCCCCATATGCAAGCCGACAGGATACTCGGTTTTTGCCTTCCCGTCGGCGCTGTTTGCTGGTTGCTTCATTACGTGCAATTTGACCTTAACATGTTAATGCCGCATGCAAACACAGGCGAACTGAGTACTCCGAACTGGGGGGCATACCTCCGGAACAACGGACGGACAGTGAGTCATACCGAAAACCAGCAAAACCAGAGATGGGCCATTGTGCATTTTTGGGGTTTGGGGATTGGGATTCCATTCGGACAAAAAGGATCCAATGCTCATGTTCCAACCTTTGACTTTTCTCGATTCCGATTTCGATTCCGATGCTGATGCTGCTGGCTGCTGCTACTTGTTAATTTCCTGCGTAACGTGGACCAACATAAATCTGATTCCCGGATGCGAATGTGTGTGCGGAATGCAAATCCCATTCCGATTCCAGCCCTGCCGAATGCCGTCAGCAATTGTACCGTCTTTAACCGCACCGAGCTGAGTGTTGACATACAGTGCATACCGGGCTATGACGGCGGCCTCCCGCAAATATTTGTGCTGGAAATGTTTTCAACACGCACCGGCATCACCAGGTAAGCATATTAATCAACTATAACTACAACTGCCAGGGGGCGTGGCCGGGTCGCTTTCGCCCCTTCCGCTCGGGGGCCTTGATTTTAAGCCGCTTATGTCCGGTCCAACTTGACCCGGAGCCCAGATATAGAACATATGTCAAACAAATGGCCCCATATCGTTTCGGGAAAAACACATTTCGCATTCATGCATGTGCCTGGGCCTTAACCTTCGGGCGCGCCAGTGAAATAGTACGAGCTTTAATCAAATAGAGCATAGGAAATGTCCAATTTGGGTAATCAAATATGTCTTGAAACAAATTTATAACAACTACTCAACGGATCTCTTGAATGATTTCTATTGTTCTTTTCTAAATGATATCGACTTTGTTCCAACGAAACGAAGTTAACAATTTTACCTTTTTATATTAGTTATCCTGAATAAAAATAGATACAATTTTAATTTGAATTATTTATGATGACCTACTTAACCTGTCCCTCAGGCTCCTTGTATTTTTGTAGATACTAGCTTTTACAAAGACTAATATAATTAATGAATGGGCTATTTTGCTGTATCAATTATTGCTTTAACAACCATTAGTTCCCGACAATATCGAATTTAAATCTCTGCTAAAGCTTGAGGGCTAATAATTACGTATGCATGGTCATGTTTAGCTGAACACCTTTGCAACCCCACAACTCGAATCAGAGCCACAGTCGGAAGATGTCTGCAGTTGACGCCCCCACAAAGACAGATGTACCAGCATGATTTTATTCAATAATAGTTCGGGCTCACCGTACGCAATAGTGGATGGGAGATGGTAAATGTATTTCAAGTGCTTTTACCTCATAAGATATGTATGGAGCACTCCATGTAGGTGTGTAATTAGGCGTGAAACAGCTCGCTCTTGGGCAGGCTGTGTTTGTCTTCAAATCGGTCCTCAAGCCATTGCATTCATAGTGGATATTAAATGCTTATACATGTTTATCATAAATGGGGAAATCAAATTCATATGCGCACATAACATTATGCGAGGGTTGTCTTCATTTCATTTTTCTTTCGCATAAATTTGTGCCAAATTTTCGGTTTGAGGCAAGGCCAAATAAACATTTTATTATTAAAAACAAGAAAGGAAAGCTAACTTCGGGCGGAGCCGAAGTTGAAATACCCTTGCAGAATATTCTGCAAATTATGTTCTCCAAAATAATTCATATGATGCATTCTTAATACTCATAAAAAATCCCAACTTCCTAACTTTAAAAACACCAAAGTTATGGCATTTCCGATCAATCAGTTATATGGCAGCTATAAGATATAGTCGTCCGATCCTTATGAAATTTGGTAGGTCGGATTAATTGGCCAAATATATAACCCATAGAAAATCCCAACTTCCTAACTTAACAAACACCAAAGTTATGGCATTTCCGATCAATCAGTTATATAGCAGCTATAGGATATAGTCGGCCGATCCTTATGAAATTTGGTACGTCGGATTGATTGGCCAAATATAATACCCATAGAGAGTCCCAACTTCCTAACTTAACAAACAGCAGAGTTATGGCATTTCCGATCAATCAGTTATATGGCAGCTATAGGATATAGTCGGCCGATCCCGGCCGTTCCGACTTATATACTGCGTGCAAAGGAAAGAAGGGTGTGTGCAAAGTTTCAATTCGAAATCTTCAAAACTGAGAGACTAGTTCGCGTAGAAACAGACAGACGGACAGACAGACGGACAGACGGACAGACGGACAGACGGACAGACGGACAGACGGACAGACGGACAGACGGACAGACGGACATGGCTATATCAACTCAGGAGGTGATCCTGATCAAGAATATATATACTTTATAGGGTCGGAGATGTCTCCTTCACTGCGTTGCACACTTTTGACCAAAATTATAATACCCTCTGCAAGGGTATAACAAAGACATCATCCAAGCAAAACAAAGAAAGCGAAAGGAAATTGAAGCCCAACGAAAAACGCAACAAACATCGTCATCAATGTTAAAATGTTTGGCAAAAATATATATAGACATTGAACCCTAATATTTCAGAACTTTGGGAGGAAAGGATTTCAGGGGATCGAAGGGGCAGACAAGTCAAAGCCGCATTCGTTGGCAAAGGCATCAAATTCAAATTGAGGTCATGATTGGAAAGAGCGCATATCTTATGAAAAAGGGGAGGGGTGGGCAAAAGTGCTTGGGGTTAGGAAAACATGCCAGTGAAAAAAAAAACCCGTAAAAATGCCAAAGGAAAAGGGCTGCCAAAAAGTATTTGTGGCATTGGCTTCTGCTCAGGCCGCACATTTGATTAAGGGCTTAATGCCGTTGATTTCCCGGCCATTTCGTTTGATTTAATTCGCAATCATCTCGAGCCCATGCCGCTGCCAATAAACCCTTTGTCCCGATCCTTCCTTGCAGATTCAATTTGAGCAACGCCGAGGAGGCGCTCTTCTCGCTGGAGAACCTGGACACGCTGACTTCGATGATGGTCCAGGAGAACAATTCGCTGCGGCTGCGGATCTACTCGTACAACCAGAAGGGCCGCAGTGCCGCTTATCTGCTGCCCGATTTCATAATTGGCTCAACAGCTTACAAGACAGGTGAGTGGCACAACCAGTAGCCGGCAACCAGATGGCGCCGTCGAAAAACGAACAGCACATTTTGCCCTGATTGATGGATGATGGTCCACGGATGCTGGATTTGGGAATGCCTGAATGCCAGAAAGCTGGGAGGGATTGGGCTGCTCCTCGAGAGCGTGGGCGGGCTTATGCTTTTGACAAGTGAGCAGCTAGCATCTGATGGACGCAATATGCCCAGAATTATATCGGCTTCTTTGGCCCAGCCAGTGATTTCCTTGCCTGCATTAATCCCATGCAGGCAATAGGCCTCGTTCCCCTCCCCCCTCCCCACACAGCCCCTGCCGGTGACACCTGACAGGTGGGCTCCTCCGCCAGTCATCTGCAGTACTTACGCAATCAACATGCCTGCCTGAAGGGCCCATCCCATCCCATTCCTGCCATCCTGCGATGGCGTAAAATATGTGTAAAATTACTTTTTGACATGGGCGGATCCAGTCAGTCCTTGAACAGTGGATCGTTTTCTTAAGGTATTGAAAGACCAAAAAAAAAAATAAATGCCAGATGAATTCAAAATGCTGGAAATAGCATGAATTATTAATGCGAATTACAGGCAGCTTAAAATGTATTACCACATATGGTTACACTTAATGTTAAAAAAAAATTTGATAGCTAAAAATATTTGCTCTTATTCATAAAACACTGTGTTTTTTAATGAAGAAGCAATGAAACTACACAGAAAATACTCAAAGTAATCATTTAAAATTTGGGCTCCCAAGGGAAAAACCTCTTCACATTTAAACTCTGATTTATGTACGGCTTTTCCCATCGTCCTTCAAACCAATTAATCATAAATCGTCCCCTTCTTATGTCCTCAATTCACATATTACTCATGGTAAAATTGCGCTCTTTGCTCTTCTCTTTTCATGTGAATTTCCTTGGCTAAAAATAAAACCGTCAAATGTCGACAAATTTAACGTTCTGCCCACCGATGAAACCAAATTCCTTAACTACCACTTCCATCGGCAATCAATTCGATGTGTGGATATGTGGCACTGCAATGGCGATGGCTTGATGGCAATCCATCTAAAACCCGATGATGATTTATGAACGTCGATTGTCAACCTGTAATTACGCGAATAACAACAAACAGACGACGATGTAACACTGACATTGTCGCCGGTGATTGTCGGCAGTGTCCTGACCATCATAATTATTGGTGTGGCAATCGCGATACGAATATTCGTGGTGACATTTGTGCACAATTTGCGACGGAATCGTCAACACGGCAGCAAGGCCACCGCCGCCGGAGTAACCGCCCAGCCCAGCGATGTCTTCAAGGTGAGTTTCGCATGGATTGACGACCCCTCAGCCACCCACGTTCCCCCACATTTTCCGAGCAATTAATGTACGTATTATTTTGTCGTTCGACGCTTTTCCCGCAGGGCGGAAACTTGGAAAAGCCACGATGGCAACACACGGACATAAAAACGAAATCATCAGAGGATTTGGTTGAGGACGAACGTGATCCGGACGTAATACCATCGCAATATGGTAAGATTATAAACAGTTCCAGACACTTTATCGAGACACTTGACTTGTAAGGAGATTGTGTAAAAGGTTAAAATATGTATAAAACAATTGCTTTCGAATGAAATGAACAACATACATTTTTGTAGAAAAATGAATTGAAAAATCGAACTAAATTTGGAATATTTTTATTTCAGATATTTTATAAATCAGTTATTTTATTCCCAAATTTTTTGGAGTGTAAGGCAAGCAGCTGTCACTTGCGCGAATAGCTCAATTTCGGTTTGGTTTTTAATGTCATCCCGCAAGTCAAGTGTCCGCGGAAGTAACCGAGAGTAAAGCTGCTTTTTTATAGTGTGCATTAAACTTTAATCAAATTTTATGGCCACTTTTCCGACATTTACTTTCATGTGTTTCGCAATCGCAATGGCAATCGCAATTCGCTATCTCCACATCCGGCTCCATTGTTCTTTGGCGACCCGCAATCGTAATCAATCTCATCAACACAACAACAATACGACCGACGCTAAACCAAACGAAACCAAACCAAACGAAACGAAACCGAACCGACCCAATCCAATCCAATCAACCAATGCAATTTTCTTTTAATCGTAAATATTTTTAACGACGCAACCCGCCAACCTAACACACGGACACGAAACGTGGCTGCTCATCAATAAATTTCAATCAAGCAGTCGGCGGCAGCAGCGCCGGCAGCAGTGGCAGCAACGCCTCCAATGTGGGCAGCACCACCGCCGGCACGGCCACGGGCAGCAGCACCTCCACGGCGGTGGTGTCCTCGGTGGCGAATCCGGCCGCATCCGCAGGATCAGGAGCAGGAGCCGGAGGAGTGGCACCATCGACATCTGCCACTGATGCCCATCAGTTTGCATCGGCCACATCGGCGGCAGGAGGTGGCGTGTCCAAGTGGTCACCCAATGGCAACGTAAGTACTCAAATGAACAACGGCATTGCCTGGCTTGAAATACATAGTTGATTTGGGGACAAGTAAAAGTAGTCACTTAAAACTTTCTTACTTTTTATGGGAACTTAACACTTTATAAATATGTAACTAAAATACAAAATAGATTAATACAAATCAGAACATTATTGGCGAGCTAGGCCAATTTGCTTTATCTTTTATAAATCTTGTTTATTTGTTGATGCTTTTTAAAAAAATATATTTAGAAAATGGGTACTAAACTAAAAACTAGATTATTTCCAATAATTTTAAAACTGAAATAAAATACATATATATTTGGAACATACTTAAAAAAATTTTCCTTAAATTTTGATCAGAATTTAAAAGTAGGAAAATTGATTTTTGTAAGTTTATTATCTTTTCAAAGAATTAGCAAGGGAGGCCTGTAATTTCGCCGCTATAATTAACTTACCGTGTGAAAGAGAAATAGGTCTTTAAGTTAATAAGAGTATATATTAAACGGAAAACCACACAAAGCACTCATCACTTGTGATAGATTGTGAAATAATTAAAACTTGTCACCTCAGGGAATTTGTTCTTGTGTGATAGGCAACAGCAGATGAAAGTTGGACAAAGTCTTTTGTCATTTGTGCTTTGCTTTACTCTCCGTAATGCAATTTGATTTGGCAAGGTTTGTTGCCAACAGTCCGTCTGTCTGTGAGTGTCTCTCGGAGCTTCTAGGTAGTCCAGATAGTTATAAAAAACCAGATAGTCTGTGAATCCAATCCGAACTGGCCCAGTTGGAGCGTTTAACGTCTGTCAGTTGTCAGTTGTGGTTCGTATTAACTGGGCTACTTTTGCCCAGACTCCGACTTTCCGTTTGGCCCTTTGTCTTGGCAATCTGGTCGGTGCACTGAAAGCAATCAACTACTCGAATTGTCAAATTGCTAAACAGAATCCCTGGCAGTCTGCACAGTCCGAGGAGGCGGACGTGGGCTCCCCAAACACCCGACTGTATTAAAAAAAGCTTTCAAACTGTCACGGGCTCCTTCGAAATTCCCACTCTTTTTGCCCTGCCACTCAGGTTATAAATAAAAATCCATTGGCTAAATCGGGGGATAACGTGCAGCTTGGCTGCCGGGCTCAGAGGTAATTGCGAGATTTTTAAAACACAATATATCATGTTGAGAGGGCCGTAATCAATCAATTTTTGCTCTGCATTTGTATTGAGCACGAAACATCGGTGTTGGATGCCCAAATCCGTGAAGAAGTTGCGCATCTACAGCAATTTTTTTAAGCTTGTTTTTTCAGCTGATGGATGGCGTGGCTCTTAGAATGGCAACAGGTGTGGTGATGTGTGCACTGCATCTGGAATCAATGTCAAAGAAAGCAATCTGCTATCAACGTTGAGAAAATATGAACGGGATTTCAATCTATTTAAATGCATTTTATTTAAAATGCATAACGTTCATTTAATTCACTAAATAGATTTCTCTTGATCCTAACAGCTCTTGAATTATTTAGTAAATTATTCCCACAAAAATTAAATCCCAAACACGGCGATTGCTTTCCGTATAATAAATTTTATTACTACATTGACTTATTTTACTATTTTGCTGTATTTTCCATATTTTTTGCGTTTGCTTTTTTGCCGACCATTCATTCGAGATTAGAGTGTCGGCCAAAACACATTTGTTTTCATTTCATTAAGTTCGCAATTAGAATTTATTTATGGGCTACCCCCTTGTCTGAATTTTGCACATATGAATATTCAAATATATATATTTATATATGTGTATGTATATATCTCCTTTATGCGCTGACAACAGTCGAGATCCCCGAAAGCCATTACCATAAGCTGTGCGAACGAGATTAGAGCCGGGAAACGGCCATATGCATCGGCCATGACCAATTGACTGCCAGTCCGCGAATATATGTATATATATCACTAATCTGGCCAAAAACATTAGCCCCAAGCCCGATCCCCGGCCGGTTCTGAACCAATTTGCAATGCAGAAAAAAACCCAAAACAGAAGTAGCTGGGAAATCAGCCAACGCTGCGGTTTTACCACCCGCTCCATGCCGCATTGCATTCGAAAACCCCCAGATAACAAAGTATCCGATTCCGTGCCCGAATCGGATACGGAGTAGGGCTGAAAGGGAATTTCTGTTTCATTCCGTAAATGGGATTTGCTGCGCAGATTTCAATTACATTTAAATTACCATTCCGGGCAGGCTTAAAATGCGGTTGGTTGGGCGGCGATGCCGGCCAGTGGGCAATCGCAGCATAACTCAATTCGTTAATTAAATAATTTTAAATATTGCCAACCATAACAGCCGAACATACCGGTTAGCAGCCCCCATTCTCCCGTCACCTGGAAATTGCATTGAGATTTCAATTAGATTTTCATTTCGCTTTGCCAGACGGCAAAATAAAAATTGGCAAATAACAAAGCATTGGTCGGCAGCATTTTTGATGTTCCAGCCGAAAATCGAGTACTTTTTATAATCATTTGAGCTAATTGGATTTCGCAGGAGGGAGGGGGAAACAGATCAACAAATCGTTGTTTTTAATATCGCACTGGTATCTTTTTTCTAACTTGGCTTAACTAAATTTCAATCTATATTGCTTAATTGAATTTATTAGTAATGACTTTTTGCAATTCATTAGTCAGGGAAAATGTTTTATTTGTCACTAATAACAATATATATATGTTTGTAATTATTTGTGCTGATTTTTTATTGATTTTATGTTTAAGTAATCTGTTATTAATTAGTAACATGAATTATTTAAAAAAATCACCCAAAATTCGTTTACAGAATTTCCGATTTCTTTAAGAGTTTAAAATTGTTCAAGGAAACGTCAAATTTGATTTTGTTCGTGTGAAAAACTTAAGAGTGGTGGTGCATAAAAGTTTCTGGGCGAATGCCTTCAAGTGCTAGATTAAGTTACACCCGGAAAAAAGTTATATTGTAACTTTTATTTTATATCAATAACTATGTTAGTTTAAAACTATGTTTACAAATGATTTGTTTATCATTCCGGCTGCAACTACTCTTTAAGATCTTCTTTGCCTTCTGGCTTAAATATATTTTCCTGCATATTAAAATAAAGGAAAGATTGATTAGTTTTAAGTGGTTGTGGAAAATACTTAACTTTTATTCCCAAAAAAATTATTTTAGAGCCTATTAAAATTCTTAAAATAAGTAAGCACAAAACTAAAAATTACTGTTTAAAAGTGCTCTTAACGGTTGGTTTTAAATAGTTGATTTTAATTTATTTATTTATACACTTATAATCTTACATTTGAGTTAAAAAAAGCTATTTCTCTGAGTGTATCTATGTCTCCATCTGCTGTGCCTTGCAGGTGACGACGACGATGCTGTCCGGCGATGCGGTGAATGCAACTGTCACCTACAATCAAATCAACGCACAGCGGGCGCAACTCCTGGCGGCGGTGGCTGCGGTGGGCGGTGGATGCAGCAGCACCGTAATCTCGCCCAGCAGCAGCATTCTGGGCGGCCTTGGCAAGCCGCTGGGCATGGGCATGGGCCTGGGCATGGGAGTGGGTGGCATGGGATCGCCCACCTCCCTGTCCTCGACGGCCACGCTGGCGGCCCACTTGCAGCCGGTGCACAGCAGCGGGGTGGGCACATTGCCACCAGGACTCGGCAGCGGCGGTGGCTACATAATGAACGCCTACGCCAGCGGACGGCTGCATCATCCACCCGGTGGTGGGGCAACGGGCGGGGGCACGGCCACCCACACCGCCACCCTGAACAGGCACCACCACCAGCAGCAGCAGCACCACCACCACCCGCACCACCAGCAGCCACACCACTCGGGCTCCAGCCTGCTGATGGGCAGTGCTGGTAGCGTCATGGGCGTGGTGGGATCCACCACGACAGCCACTACGTCCTGCAACTCCTCGCAGGACCTGGATGACAACATAAACATCAATGCGATTAAGGATTGCCTGATGACGCAGCGAGTGCCCGAGAGTTGTGTCTAAACGTGGTCCTGGAAGTGGCGCAAATATGTATTTATTGTGTAGGAATATAAATCTATGTCATGACAGGATTGTGGCAGTTTTCACATTCATTTAAAATTAAAAACAACTTCATTTCTGATATAATTTATTTTTAACACATAAATTATTCATCGTTATTTACTTTTAAATATATTTATCTTTATAAATGTGCATTTTTCCCTTTAAAATATTTCAGTTGACTGAAAATTACATTTTAATTTTAATTTGAACCCCTTTTAATATGAAAACTGAAACAAGCCTGTACTCTTCTCGTTAAGGTGCTGTGCATATATAATCTAACATTTAAGTGAAATGTGGAGTAGTGAAAGCCGAACATAAACTGACTGGAAACCGTCATATCTTCTGGTTCAATAGCATATCCCTTGTTATATCAAACTAAAAGAGGAAAAAGTAACGATCACTATCATAATCTGAGGAGATTTGTTGGATTCATTGTTAGCTTCGAAACTGCCTTTAAAAATCCTTTTCTGAATGAAACAAATATGGAATCTGGTAATATTTTCAAAAAATTGGCTTCGTTTCGAACAAACAATGGGTAGGGTTAATTGGATGGAAAACATTTACAACACAGTTAAACACACACTTTATTTTAAGGAAACTTCAAGAAGACTCAAAAAATTTAGTAGCTAAATATTTTGTAGCTAAAATATTTCAGAAACGAGACATAAATATCATAGGATAACTTGTAAATAATATAAATTTGTGGCATAGAATATAGGCAAATTGTATAAAGAGAATATTAATCAGACCCAAAGATCCTCTGTTGTTGTATATAAAAAATTGATGATTGTAAATTTATCGAAGTTTATGTTTGAGATGCCGTCTTAACCGGCCAATGGTCCTGCTTAGAGCTAAAAGAAATACTAAAGTTAAATGTTTCGAAGAAAAAGCGTTAGATTTAGGCTACAATAGACATAGAAAATGAAAGAGTTTAAAATGTGCTAGGCTAACAGAATTAAGCAAAAATATCAATAAATACATTTAGCTAAGTCGAAGAATAATGTGAAAAAAAACAAACAAAATTAAGTATCGGAATGTAAACAAAGGGCGAAAAGTAAATATAGATCAACTACAAAAAACCAAAAGAGTTAATTAATTATTTGCGAATCCCTTTGCGGTTCAAACTTATTTGTTTGAAATCTAATTTGGAAGTTGAAACCAACTTTTTTGGTTTTCGTTTTAATTTGCACTTTTTTGTGGAAAGCAGCTTGGACACATGTCCGAAATCCTATCCAGCCCCAGTTGGCCAATTTAAATCGCCACTCAAACTGGGATGTGCAGCCCGTCCCTGCGGTTCGCATGGCAACCACAATTCCCAACACCCGCAAGACAAACCGCAAGTGCCAAGCGAAAAAACTACTTAAAATTTCATATGCTCTCGGCCCTTGTTTTCCCCTCCACTGGACTTGCCTCATTAGTAAATCAAATTTATACGTGGGTGGTTGAAAATCCGAACCACACCCACTCACCCGTTCACCAACTGAAATGGTCAACCACATGGAACGTTGGATCTAAGTTGAATCGACAGTCTGAATAAGGAAACAAAAAGCGGAAAGCTGGTGAAATAGGAGCCACTCAACATTATATCGACAAGTCGAACGGTGACAAAAGAATTAAGCTAGTAATTATTTGTTGAAGGACACTCTAACTTATAATTATTACAGTTGATTACTGAATAATTATATGGCGAGCAACTTCAGGTAAGATAATATGTTTATTTTAACCCTTAATTAAACATGAATATAATTAATAAATAAAAATATATCAATTGTGAATTCCCAATTAATAAAGTAAGTAATCAAAGAATTTATGGAGTTTTCGGTCAATTGCCTTTTGAACTAGACCGAAATTCTGTGTACCGCTCTGGCAGTATTTGATTACTATTTGCTTTCATGTCATCGCCTGATAGATATCACTTCACACGTTCTATCCACAACAATAATAACAGAAAAAAGGAAAAACGAAGAAAGCTAGGAAAAGAATAAAGAAAAACCATCCCCCAATTGCCTTGAGGTCAGAAAATGTAAATAAACGGATTGCACCCGGCTCAGTTCATGAATAAAGAAAAGCAAAAAAATAAGTCTTTAATAGAAAAAGCAAAAGGAAATAATTGGAACAAAATTATGCGCGTGATTTATGCTTTTGTTGTTCTCGACCAGTCTGTTTGTGTTAGCCTTATTGATTTTTCCGCCCCAACTATGTGTGAAAATTAAATTCCCGTTTACAGTTTTCCCTCCATTAGCGATTACCACCCCCACTCCCCTCCTAATTTGAGTTCGCGACCGCTGGAGGCGACCAGAGAATTGAATTGAAGCGCATTGTGTAAATCAGCGGCTCAATAAAATCCAATAGCCCCGGCAGATTGCGGCTCGACACGCACAGCACCAAGGCAACGAAGTGTCCTGGCTGGGCGGTAAACATAAATTACTGGACGGGGACAATGCTCGTCCTTGGCAGTGGCTAAGTTTTGATAGGCATCATAATAAATGGCAAAAGTGACAGCCTGACGTCAGTGATCCGAAAAGCTTGAACCCGTTCACAATCCTCTAAGCTGATTGACTTGAAAAGTTTGCTATAAATTAATAGGCATAAAAGGGTGTTCTGGACAGCGGGGATTGTCAACAGCAGATAAAGTTTTTACTGAAGCAAGGATATTTGTTATAATGATGATAATATAATAAATTTAATTCCAGAAAGTTAGACTTACGAGAAAAATATAATTCATATCACAATTTAATAATTAATGCGCACATAATTAATTTGTATTGCACATAATCAATAATAGATTTTCTTATGCTAAATAAATGAGGTAGTAAATAAAAATTATGATTTATATTGCAGGAAAAATGTAGTACATTATATAAATTTATAAGTTTATAAAATTTATATTAACTTTTTATATGGTACAAATTAATGCATAGATTAAAAGTATAAACAAAAATATTTTCCGGAAGCATTAATTTCATATTGGTGGCGGGGAATACTCTTAATCCGGAATCTCCCCGCCGGATGCTTTCTTTGTTCATTATCGAACTTTCCGACGTTATAACGTTATAACACTTGCAGGGCCAAAGCCGAAGCCAGCGCCGCCGCCAGAGTATTACCACAGGGAAGCCGCTTTGGCAAATTAACTAATGACCCCATGTCGGGGATGCAGGGGGCTAAGAATTGAGTCGGAGTTGAGTGCGGAGGGGCAGAGGGGGGGTTATGGGGATTCCGGCGGATTGTTGCCGGGAATCAGCAGATGGCGGGGGGCGTTTGTTTAATTGTCGTGCGACCCGCTTTTTGCTCCGTTTTAATGAGTCAATTTAAATTCCGATTTCGATTACGGGAAAAGCGTTTTTCGAGCTGCTGATGGTCCGCACACACACAGCTGAGGCCAAATCGATGTTCATTAGCAGAAGGCGAGCCACGCCCCTGCCGCCTTCTTTGTTCCACGGCTTCCGTTCGCAGCACTCTTTATTTTGCCCTCTGACCTGCCATTGTCAACGCAATTAGCAGCGCGAACGAGACGGGAGTTTTAAAGTTAATATTGGTTTTTGTTTTTAGCATTCAAATGACTTCGCACGTTCTGCACAAGGTGGCGGATTGAAACGTATTCCGCGATCCCTCGGGCGAAGGTCGAACCCATCATAATTGGAGCATTTAGAATTTATTACAATTTCAATTGTAATGCAGTCCTATTTTAGTGGTTTTTAATTAAAAGCCAACCACATTTTTTGTTAGTTAAATTAATGGGCAAATGAGTATAAAAGTATGCCACTTTATTTTAATTTTTAAATTTGTTTTTTTTTTGTTAGCTGGCAGTTTTAATTAAAACATCAGGGTTTTATTATTTGATTTATTGCGCCATCTGACAGGCCACAATAATCGCCGTAAACAAATGCATATGTAATTGCATATTTGAACTCAATTAACCCGTGACTTGACCGCACAAATTTTGCAAATTTGTCAACCCAATCGCAGTAAAGGCGGCAAAGTGGGTGGCCGACGGGCGGTCCTCCTGGCAAAGGCCATAAATCTCGGCCTACACTTTCAACTTGACCCCAACGGAGTCGACTCGATGTCGTTGGAAACGCAGCGCTGCATGAAATGAAATTTAGCGCAACGGCCTCCTTCCATATGCTTTTTGTTTTTGAGTTTTTCGGCTTCAACCGGCGCTTGCTTCTATTTTGTATGCCGTTCTCCGTTTTCCGTGCGTCGCTCAACGCAACAATTTATGTCTAAGCGCTCGTGTTTGGCCTAAAAGTATATATACATATATAGAGAAAAACCAGTTACATAGAAACACGTCGATAAATTACAGTCGCCCCGAGAGGCCTCGGTCTCGCCGACCTAGCCGAGTTGAACTAATGGCAGCCGAGCAATATCGTTATATAACAGCCCAAGGAAAATTCTTCAAAAATTATCTCGAAACCAGGTTACGCAGGCCAAATGCTCTGGTTTGCAATAGTATCGATTTCCCTAAAAAAACTTGAAAACTTATTTATATTTGCCTTTAATTATTTTCATAATAATCAACTGGTTTTTTGTCTTTTGCAATTATTTCTTTTGTAAACAGTAAATGAATGAAATGGTTTTATAAGCTTGCTGTTTCGCTTTGCAATAATAAAATATTTTCTATTAAGTCAATAGTTACTTTAATACAGTGGGCCTTTAATTCTAACATAATTTTCATTTGTCGAAGAAGAAAAAAATAAAATATAAAAAATTTAAGGCAACTGAAAAGCTGGCAAACCATCTGCAGAACTCCATATACCCCAAATCATATCAATGGGCTGTAAAAATAATCACGCAAACAACAAGAAAAATAAATTTAAATTCTGTGTCAACATGCGGCGTGGTGAGATGTTGCCAAGTCGTAATTCCCTAACAATTTATGCTAAAAATAAAAAAAAATTCGGAAAACAAATAAACCAACGCAATAACATCGGCGAAAGCAACTTGTGCGAATGTGCGTGAACCTGTGTATGTGTTAATTAAAATGCCTTAATTAAAATAATTTTCAAATACTTTGCAGGCTGAAAAAGTTTTAACGCACACAAGCCCAAGTGGAGCGATGCAAATATTAACGAATCGGAGTGGCAAGAGCCACAAATTTTCTTTTTCCATTGACTGCCGCACAGATTGACAACCATGACA